ATAAAGAAACACAACAGGCCACAAATGGATAAATCAATCACAGAATTAGAGTGAGTGTGGCGTTGTTGCCCCGACAAGACTGCTCAAATAGACCCCATAACAAAACGAAAAAGGTTTGATTTTGCTAGCATGGCTGTAATATCACTGACAAAGGGGTACAACTTGAATAATTTTAATTCAAAACGTAAAAAACATCCAACTGATTAGTAGTATAGCCTATATGATTTACAATATGGCTAATAAAATATTAAAATATGTCATTATAATTTTGAAAATATTGGATATTACGTTTTCTTGACTTATATGGCATCAGAACAGAAAAAAGGTAAATAAATAATAATAAATAAAATAAGAAGAAACAAGCCTATAAGATTTTCACTTTTTCCCAGTGTGATTTTAGCTGTTTCTTGCAGATGCAGGAGGAGGATCCGGGACATATAAGGACTTATATATTGATTATTAAAGATTACTTACTTACAAACTTATTTACACATTATTTATTTATGGACTGGTCATCCCACTCCCTATGGCTCCTGTGTGTTTGTTAATATTGCATGTCTGTGTTTGATTTTCTGATCTGTTTTTGGTGAATCAACAACTTTATAAAGTCCTTCCTAGACGCCTGTTGTTATGATTTGGAGCTATACAAAGATACATTTAATTTAATAAATGAATGTACTTCCCAATTAAATCAATTTGTTTTTGCATTCCCCAAAATCACCAGTTGTGTCAGAGGACGATACAGAAATAGTCAATTCACCAACAGAATAGATAATCAAACAAGAACACAAGAAAATGTGTATATATTCAATATTTAGTATGAGTTTTCTACAGAGAACTGAAATGAGGAGCAACTAAAGGTTTGTGTGTCTTGAGGCCTACAACGCAGGTGGAGGTGTTGGGACGGACCTATCCTTAATAGTGAACTGGTATTACTCATGTTGCCAAAATAAGGATTTATATATAGGATCTGCAGATGTGAAGGCAAGGCCACTTCACAGGGACTAAAAAGCTTACAATGAGTGGAGAATCAGATTCAGATTCATGTATTACTTTGTCTCCTGAGGGAGAAATGTGTCTTGGAGCAGGGGGGGGTCAGTGGCACCCACAGATACAGACATAAAAAGAAAAAAAAACAGACAATACACACATAACATTCGTTGACACCTATTGCTTTTGCACTGTGGGATCCTATACCTCCTCCCAGAATGCAGCAGTTCATATTGTGAGTAGAGAACATGAGTGGAGTCTCTGATGATGTTCTTGGCCTGTCTGATCACTGACCGCTCAAAAATAGTCTGAGGTGAGATTAGAGTGGACAACGACACTCCCATTATCTACCCGGCTAGTTTTTGCAGCCTCTGGATCTGTGATTTGTAATTCACTGTGAGGTTACCAAACCAGCTCACGATTCCGTATCTCAATATAGATTCAATACTCGCTCTATAGAAGGTCAACATAACATTTTGGCTCACTCCAAATACTCTAAGCCTACGAAGAAAGCACAGCCGCTGATGGATCTTTGCACAGATATTCAACACATGATTGTGCCAACACAGTTCATTGTCCATTTCCAACACAGTTCATTGTCCATTTCCATTTGGACTGGACTCAGACCTAAATTTCAATAGCCACATAAAATCAATAACATCAACAGCTTTTTACCATCTGAAGAACATTGCCAAAGTTAGAAATATAGTGTCCAGGGCAGACTTGGAGATTCTTGTCCATGCATTTGTCTCCAGCAGGCTAGACTACTGCAATGGCCTGCTTACAGGTCTGTCCAAACAGACCTGTAAGCAGCTGCAGTACATCCAAAATGCAGCAGCTAGAGTCCTGACAGGAACCAGGAAGTATGACCATATTAGTCCGGTCCTCAGGTCTCTGCACTGGCTTCCTGTGGGCTCAAAGAATAGATTTTAAAACGGCTCTGCTTGTGTACAAGTCTCTCCATGGCCTTGCACCAGAATACATTAGTGACATGTTGGTGTCATATGAACCGGCCCGGACTCTGAGGAGCACAGGGACTGGCCTCCTGCTGGTGCCCAGAGTGAGAACCAAACATGGGGAGGCTGCGTTTCAGATCCATGCAGCTAAGATCTGGAACAATCTCCCTGAAAATGTGAGGGAGGCGTCTACTCTGTCAATGTTCAAATCCAGGTTAAAGACTGTTCTGTTTGCCTGTGCATATAACTGAAGGATTTTATCTCCATTTTTAATGCACTGCTGTCATTTATTTATTTTTTTAAATTTCTTGTGTAATTTTGAAAGTTTTAATGGTTTTATTCTTTTGTGTGATTTTAATGTTTTAATTGTGTTTTAATCTTTTGTGTGATTTTAATGTTTTAATTGTGATTCTGGTGTTTGTTTTATGTGATGATTTGTGATGTGGACTGTGAAGCGCTTTGTGTTGCCCTGTGTATGAAAGGCGCTCTACAAATAAACTTTGATTGATTGATTGATTGATTTCCACCCCAAGGTACCTATACGACGAAACCTGCTCAATTATTTGTCCATGAATGAAGACGTTGCTATGGTCCCCTATCAAACGAGGATCTACAATTATCCTCGTTTAGATAATTAAGTTATCCAATTATCGAGGATAACTATTATTATCACACCATTTAATGAACTGGTCCACTGCAGATGTGTGGCCACTGGTGTCAGAGCAGCTCGTGAGCAAACTCAGTAAAGCGGTGTCATCAGAAAATTTGATAATATACTGGTTGGGTTGCAAGCTAACACAGTCATTCGTGTATAATTGTGAGATTTCATAACACTTTGAAGCAACTTTTGTTAAAGTTAAACTCATCATTCTATCAATGTGCAGAAGCCAGTACTTTTCCCTTGTTTTGTCTATCTGAAGGCCAAGCTACAAGCACACCGTGGCAGCTGCTGATTGGAGGTCTCCATGCCTCCGCTCTGTATAATACACTTGCATTCTCTGTCCGTGTTGTTCGTGCTGTCTCTACCATCGACAATAAAACATGTCTTCTGTCTGAATGAAAGACGCGATCCCAGACTATGTCATCTTCTTCAGGTGGTGGAAGGATGCGGGCCTTGTCTGTAACATCTACAGAACAGAAGACTACTTTTTTTTTACACAAAAAGTGTTTTTTTTTTCAAGCCGAAACTGAAAAACCTCAAGAGAAACCATGCATCTGGACCAGCACACTTGGACTATCTGCACAGCCCCTGATTCCAGTCAGGCCTGCTGTGAGCTGCTGAGACATGGATAATACCATCGTCCTCTTTTGCATGGACATCATTTGGAAAAATTGGATTACACAATTTGGACATCATTTGGAACAATCTGGATTTCTGAATTTGGACATAATTTGGACTGAATTGAATTGCTGAATCTGGACACTGAAGCTGAAACGTGTGATTGAAAGACACGTCACAGAAGAATTCATGGCTCGACACAAATGCAGCCTGAAGAAACAACATGGAGAAGTGGGAGAGACTGTTTTCAAAGAAATATCTGGAACCACCATCGACTGATGAAGTTTGGTATTTTACTGAAGATTGTTGACAAGTTTTATGAAAGATCTGAACATGTTTTATGAGTTTTCTGAGTTTTTGAAGTATTCCGAGTTCTGAGTTTTTTGAAGTACCGAGTGAAGTACCGAGTTTGAGTTTTTGAAGTATTGAGTTATGATGTTATGTTGCTGTTTATCGATCCTGATGGTCACACGTGAATGTGTGACCAGAGGGGGGAATATGAGATTTCATAACACTTTGAAGCAACTTTTGTTAAAGTTAAACTCATCATTCTATCAATGTGCAGAAGCCAGTACTTTTCCCTTGTTTTGTCTATCTGAAGGCCAAGCTACATGGCACCGTGGAAGCTGCTGATTGGAGGTCTCCATGCCTCCGCTCTGTATAATACACTTGCATTCTCTGTCCGTGTTGTTCGTGCTGTCTCTACCATCGACAATAAAACATGTCTTCTGTCTGAATGAAAGACGCGATCCCAGACTATGTCATCTTCTTCATAATGTAAACAAAGGAGAAGAGCTAACTGTACCCTGGGGCACTCCTGTACTGCAGACTGTTTCCCTCGAAAACACAGAATTGACCCTCACCTTTTGAGAGCGCTTTGTTAAAAAAAGAATGCTACACCAGTATCCAATGGCTGAATGATAAATTATCATCGAGCAGTGTTTTTGATGCAGAATGAAGTGGAAGAATTGTGGTTTTGTCCAGAATTGTGTGTGAAAGAGGTTTTGTGCCTTGCCTTGCCTTACTTTGATTTGATTTAATATCAATTTATTTGAGCAGGTCACTACTTATAATGACATAACAGTGACCAACTGGATCTCTGAAGAGACACTTTTCATAACAATAGGGTCCGTTCTCTGGAGTAAACAGCAGATTGTTTATCATTTTTCATGAATATAGGAATAGTTGTTCCGATCCTATAGCATGTAGTTGTTTTGTAGGTATTATTATAGATCCAGGGTTCCCCCCATGAAATGGTAGAGCACCCATACCCTTCAATTTACAGATTTGGCCAATAGAGGTCAGTCTAAACAAAGTTTTAATCCAGTTTACGAAGGTAATAGTAAAATAAATGATCAAAACAACTATGTATATATAAACATATAAGATCCCCATGGAAACAGGCCACAATAAGAACAAAGCCGAAATGTTAGCAATAAGCCCGCTGGAATCAAATGCCTCACATTCAACCAATACAATTCTTCCCACATGGGCATAAGCCTCCAGTGTTTTCTGCTGGGGCATTTATGCAGACTTTAAAGTTTTAGAGTTTGTAAATAAACTAGCAATAAGCAGCAAAACATAAACTTACTGCTATAGAGCGTTACATTTAGTGAAATGGAAGAACCAGACTTAACCAGGGCAATAAGTAATGAACCTAAGGCTTCTGTGTGTTCCATTCTCCACATGAGTCAAGTGCATTGTTGTTAGTTACGTGTCCCTCCCGCCTCATGTTGCTGAGGGATCACACACCACAGTAGTATTCACTGGTGACGATGAAGATGATGATGATGATGATGATGATGAGGATGAGGATGAGGATGAGGATGAGGATAGTGGTGACAGCAGCAGCAGCGGCACCAGTCGGTGAGCCGAGGCGCAGGCTACCTGCCTGTATCACGGCTCCTGTGAGTTCCACGAGTGCCCTGGACTTCCTGGTACGGAACCATGGACATGTTCAGCTCCCGTGTGGCCAGGGGAAGACCCGCGGCTCCGTGAGCGCAGAGAGCAGGGAGCAGAGAAGGTGAGAGGCCGCAGTGTTGGTGTGTTGTGTGGTTGTGGCAGATGCTGGTCGCTCATGTAGAGCCAGGGAAGTTGCCGAGCTCAGGACATTTCATCTGTCAGTGCTTTCTGCGGAGCTCAATGACGACGGCTCTAACGATCGCTTTCAAAGTAAAATGAAAAGCTCTTTATTATTGTTTATAGACTGGACTACGCGTACGCACGGAGAAGCACACGCAGTTCTACACGTGTGCCACAAGTCTGCTTTGTTTAGATGCTGTAAACTTTATGCTTATTTGTATTCACCGAGGCCTACCTAGCTACTATGTAGCTAGCCGTGTACATTATGCGAATTTCCGGTTTGCCGATACAAAATAAAATGACTAGTGACGATACTCAGAATGTATTGTTTTGTCTATCTGCTTTTAATTGAGCTATTTTCATACTTGCCAAGGGGCAAAACATAATAGTATAATAACATATGGCCATGCATCCAACATATTAATGGGAGTTTCTAGATGATAGATGTATGTGGACTGCAGCCAGACCTGCAGCAGCATCACTCCAGGTGTGCCTTGGTGCAACTCTCACGACTGCAGTGTGTCTTTCTTATGTTGTATTTATTAAATCTTTTGATATTCTTTAATGAGGTAAAATATATTCATTTAATGATTAGGGAGAGTAATTATTGGGTTAGGTCGTGCTGCTGTCTTGTATAGCAATGGTTTACACAGTTCTTCTCTTACTTTGAAAGTCTCAAAAGGATGCTGTTGGAATTATTTCTGAGGCCGTGACATGATACTCCCACTTACAATCCTACCTATCCCGTTTCAGGATAATGCAGCTTAATGTCGTTGTGGGCTTGAAAACACGGAGTATGTGCAGTATTTCTGCAGTTCAAAATAAGGATATGCACTTTATTAAACCACATGTGCTGGTTTCAGGTCTCTCTGATCTTTAACAGCGGCCTTTTGGAAGAGTGTCATTTATTAGCTCTGTTTGGAGATCTTGTGCTTTCCTGCTCAGTCCTAAGTGATACTGTAGATATTCAGCCTTTATACTCCTGGTCCTGGATCATGACATTTCAGAAGTGAAGTCTTTTTAGCAGTGTTCAAAGTCCTGAGATTACTGTGCTTGTGGCGGTAGCAGTCAAAATGTATCCTTTAACATGGTTTTAGTTAGCCGGATTGTCGCGGAATGTCTGCTTTGTTATTATTTGTTAATTACAATGTAAAACTGTTACATACAGTAACACTTGTGGATCCATACTCACAAACTCACAAAATGTATGTTGTTTCTCCTCCGGTCTCCATTTATATATGTGTATGTTTGCTATAGATCTAAAATAGAATTGATTTACTTAATCACTAAACAAAAAAGATTAAATCCATCTGTAGATCAAATGAATACATCCTCACCTCAGCATACCTCATCTGGCCTCACCTCTGGTCTCTCTTGTCAGGACAAACTTCTGTGCAGCTATCCACAAGCTTCTGTTCTATGTGAGAATACTCATTGATAATTGTCCAGTTCTCTATATTTTCGTCCCTATTGTAGGCCTTACTGTGTTGGTCCAGTATTGTCCATCTCAGGAATGTCATCTGTAAGGACAGAGCAGCAGGAACTGGTGATGATGGGAGATGTGTTTTTATAGAGTTTGTATTTCAGTGTCATTTCATCCAGCTGTTGTTGCTGTTGTTGCTACTGCTGCTGTTGCTGTTGTTGCGGTTCTTTGTTGGCTGGTGATCCCTGCTGGTGTGAAAAAGGAAAAGGCTTGATACCAATTTTGAACTAGAACATGCACTTGGAGAGCACATACCCCGCAAACACTATGGATTAACTTAAATGTCCATCTATTCTGCACACCATATTTCAGATCAATCCAGTAGTTTTTGTGCAATCCAGCCTATAGACAAACACACAGATACAATTATAATACCTTACCTATAAACACTAGTGGCTGGTATCGAATTCAGCGTACTTGCTTGTATTTAAATCATATCAATACTGTCTTGTAGTTTTACACTAATGAATCAATGACCTATTCATATACTTCATATTAATTTAACCCTAACCCTTTACATTGCTGTCTGCACCATTTAGACGCTGCACTCTGCAATGCTGTTGATTTGTCATTTTGTGGCATAGTGACTTCTTGCTGACCTGAGCTGCTTTTACTGAAGCCTGGAGGATATTGGATCTCTTAACTTCTGCAACAGAGGCATTCAGAACAACAAGGGGGAGGCTTTATTTCCACCAGCATTCTTTTCTCTTCATCTTCCTGCCCTTCCTCCTAAATTGCCCATCTGCAATAGTTTCAAATTACTCCTCATTACTGTCACCAGATTACTGTTATTTATGTAGCAATTGGGACCATTAGGACAGAGATAGGCACGCACAATGCCTATTTTGTGAAGTATTAAATGTTGGACGCAATCGTGCATGGCACCAGAGTGCGACCAATATGTGCGTTCAAAAATAAGGCCAATACAATAAGTATCTTTTTTGACTCTTTGTTTCAGCTCCTTGTGATGATTGTATAACAGCCAAATTAGACAATAAAATGCACCGGCCAATCAACTCTTAATCACTCACAGGACAACTCACTGAACACATGGGATACTGAGGGATGTAAACAAGTACATTACAATGGGCTGTGGATGAAATATGGTTTTCAATTAAGTGGATGCCTATGCCTGTTTGTGCATTTTCAATACAACATATTAGCTTTCACAGAAGAACTAATGTCTAATCGTATGAATGTATTGGCACCAGTTATTCATATTCTGATTTAGGTTCTTTGTTCTATGTTTTTTAGGTCATGAGTGCCTTCAGGAGTGATCCAGTGGATATCAAACTCATCTGTCCAAAGCCCTGCCCTGTTTGGGCCCCACTTGGTGCCCCACCATCGGCATCACACCATGAGTGAGTACCTTTTTATAGTAAATAACATTTTTTGTATAAGAAAGTGTACAGTATCTGCAGAGGTATCCAGCCAATACGGTACAGAGTGTTCAATGGAGGTATAGAATATTTAGTGTGTGATGGAGTAGGAACAAACATATGGAGCAACAGAAAGTGAGCATGTGTGATAATCTCCTGCCCCTGGTCAGTCATCAATCACAGTGTGAGTGGGACGTCAGCACATGTGGGACCACAGCAGGTCGTAATGGTACTGCATCACCCTGGACCATGGATGAGTCATCAGGAGGATGCAGCACTGAGTACTCTCTCTTGCTATTGTGTCAACTATTTTCCATTATTTAAACTGTTTTTTTTAGTCATTAAATTAAATGTTCAATCATTGTTGTCCATGTGTATGCACAGCGCTTATGTGTACAAAACTCCGGGTGTATTATGATATTTGTCTTTTTTTTTTTTTTTTTTTTTAACTACATTCTAGTGGTAGTAGTAGTACATTCCAATTCTCTGATAGAGTTGAGGTAACCTGGTCTGGGGCACTCTCCCTTGCTCTACCTTCTATTTAGCTGATTGGTCAGATTAAAACAACAAATAATCATACTGGCACATTGTAATTGATTGAGCGGAGCAGGCTCATCACATTTTGAGGCCATAAGACTGGGGGTTTTTCTACGCCTCCTCTTCCGTGCATTCCATTGACACCATTAAAACGCCATCTTGGGAATCATCCACGGAAATATAATCAGACCTGGAAGATGAACTCATTAATTTCTTTTAATAACTTTGCTAACTGAAATACAAGTCGTGTGAAATGAAATGAAAATTACTTTTAGTTCCGACCATTATTCAACTCTGCATGTTCAAAGTTTTTGCTGCAGAATGTGTTCCTGGTCCGGACTTCTTCTTCTTTGATATTGGATCTGTGTGTTTGGCAGCTCTGCCCTCTCAGACATGTTGTGCTTTCTTGTAGTTCACTTCACTGATAAGCCAGCGTTTCCTGCAGCGTTAACTCTTTAGGGGTGCTAAAGGAAATAGACACACTAAACTTTGAAGCACACGGATGATGCAGGCGCTGATGGAAAATAAGGGGTTGCAGGCCGAGAGTGTAATTTAGAATATACCATTTGTTGAGCACGTGGATGGATGAAACCCCTTTGTGTTGTGTTGTGCGGACTGTAGTTGTGTGCCACAGGTCTGAGCACTGGGTTACGGGGGCAGCCCGACACATGTGAGGCCTTTACTGGAAGGTGATTGGATTAAGTGAGCTCTGTCTCAAGCCTGTCCTGAGAGGTTTAACGCTGCTTTTTCCTTTGTGTACACGGCCACCTGTTTGTGTGTGTGCTTCATGCATAATCCTAGTGACTGAACATGTGAAAATGAAGACTTATGCCTGTTGCACCCAAAGTTTTTTGTCTGTATTTGGAGAAAATTGTCTATATTTTCCTAATTACTAATCAATATCATCCCCACTGTGGTCAGACTGTACAATAAGTCACTGCACTGCTGTAGTCACTTTTAATTTTACTGTACATAGAATATATCTTGCACAAAGACACGTTATTTTAACCTTTTTAACATGTTTGCACACTTCCTGTCGTTTTGCACATCCTGATTGATTCTAAATATGTAAAATGTGTCCATTCCGATATCAATAAAATGTATCTTAATTTCTCATGGACCCCCACATATGCCTGCACATTTTAATCCATTCATCGTTTGATTTTGTTTACAGTTATGGTTATGGGGATAATTAATTAGTCTATTTTGATCATCTTGAATAATGCATAATGGTCAAATAAACACAATGCTTTCCTTTCACGGGTTGTCCTGCCTGCGTAGTCCAAAGGTCTTTGCATGAGTCATGTGGGTGATGACACACGATTACCAGGACATTTTGCAACCCGGTGGTGCCTTCCCCTGGCATATAGAGCTCCATGTCTGTGAGGAAAGTGATGTCATACAGAGCTCAGCGATGCAGTGTTAAAAAGACGATGCACTATGTTCTGGGTGCTTACCTCAGCTGATCCTGCAGGTCCAGTACATCGCACACACACTGTAGAAGTTGAGCAGATTCTGGGGTAAACATCCTCCAGCTCAGACTTTTCAATACTGAGCAGAAACTAAGTGCCTGTTGGTACTTGTTAGTCTGGTGGTTCACTACAACTGGACAAATTCTGGTTCACTTGAGGATTGTCACCTGAATGTGATTAACCTTCTCTCTCAAAGAAATGGCTTTAATACAGCTATTTTTGTGAATGCGAGGGTTTGTCTGGGTAGGAATGGACAGTACACGGCATGTTTGTGGCTGGATGTTGAGGGTGAATGTGGGGGCAGTAAGGGGGGCAGTATGTGATGTTAAATTCAGTTGTATACATTTTCTTTGTTCTGTTAGTACTATATTATTGTTTCTGTTGTGTCATATGGTGTATTTGTACAGGTCCAGGAGTAACTTGTTTATAAAGTACAAACTGTTAAATAGCATTATGTAAGAATTGCATATCAACTCATCATTAAATGACCCTAAAATGTCAAAAGGCATCAATAAACCATGCTATTTTCCAATACTTCTTTAACTGATTACAGTAGTTTAGCCGGGACATTCTAAATTCAAAATTGGTTTTACAGCACCTTGATATGGTTTTCATTTCGAAGTCCCACCCCCCACCGTTTTAACAATTAAAAAGTCCGTGATCCAGGTTGCCAGAACTCACTAGGGTGGCACGGTGGCTGAGTGGATAGCACTCTCGCCTCTCAGCAAGAAGGTCCTGGGTTCAAATCCCGGTCGGACTAGGGCCTTTCTGAGTGGAGTTTGCATGTTCTCCCCGTGTCTACGTAGGTTTCCTCTGGGTACTCCGGTTTCCCCTACCACTAAAAATATGTACAATAGATCTGGCATGCGCCTTCTGTTCGGCGACCCCGCTCCCATCTATGTCTGGAGTGAGAGGACAAATGCCCAAAAAAATAATAACAATTGTAAACCGCTTTGTGACCCTTGTCTGTGAAAGGCGGTATATAAATAAACATTACTTAGTTACTGCATTGAGCTATTTTCACTGGTAAAGTAACATGTCAGGCCGCAGTACTAAAAAAGGTCTCGTTATGATTATCAAATCATTAATGACATCTCTTGTCCATTATGCTATCTATTATGGTCCCAGCTAGATTTGTCTGCATATCTGGCAACCTGAGTCAGGGTGAGTGGGAGAGGTTGCAGTACCACCTTTGGCCAGATTTTTACATATCGCTCCTTTAAATAAAATGAAAGAAAGAATGAACTTTTAAAAGTCTCTTTCTTTCTCTCTGGACAAAGGATGACCAAACTCCTCGTAGGACTTAACTGAGCCCTAAGAGCAACTTACAATGAAATACATTGTAATAACATTTATGCAAGTTGCTAAAATATGTTGACTATTGAGAATTATTTGTGTCTCATGTTTCATGTTGTGATGACGACACCTCCAGAGGGAAAATAGCATTTGTTTTTGTGTGAAATACTTGAGTGGTGACTGAATGACTACTACCAAGATTGCTATGTTTGTTGAGAAATAGTTCAGTTTCTGCTTGTTGTTGGCAAACGGGTCTGGCTACTTTACAAGTTTCATTTACCTGATACATTGCCATCCTCTAACATGCTGTGAACTGGAATAGATTTGGGATTGAGATAAGTCTCTTTTGTACTTCCTCTCCTGCTGATGTTATTACACAATCTGAACTGGATCTTTATTGGATCTGCGGATGAAGTGAGACTCTGCTTGGCTCCTGTTAAAGAGATCTTTTAGTATCACACCCCCAAGACATGATTATCACTGTTTCTCACTGCAGCCCCGAACGCCACACTGTGTTCCTGTTACTCCAGCCTGTTCGGCTCAATCGGCCTTGTAATTTACTGATAACTGAAACAAAATAATACAAAAAGAGCAATTATGTCATTGCTGCTAACATTGTAAAGTTATGTTGGCAAAGCACATGAAATACTGAATTTACCGGTTTAGTTTATATTGTATTTCATATTGATATTTGTGAAATAATAAATAGATGTGGCACAAAGTGCAGTCAATTCTTGGCAATAGGGACATTTCTAAAGTGTACAAATGATTGTGGCACCTGGGAGCAGGACGCCACACCCACATTCAAGAGGGGGGTATAAATTGGGCTTCCTGTTTCCTTATTCTCCATATGTTGTCCATGTGTCACAAATGTTGTAAACAATCATGTTTACTAAATCATACTGTGTATGAATGCATGCTGCCCGTACCCAAACCATTTATTGCATTTGCAAGCTCTATCTAACTTAGCCACCTTTCCCACGCCGGAACAAGTCATTGTGTGACTTTCAGCCCAAGACCGACTCAGTCTGACCGACTTATTGAACCAAATTATAAACCGGTTAAATATTTGTTGTTAACTGCATTTACTATTTCCTGGTCGTCTCTGGATCCAATTTGAATATATCCCGATAGCATCATAATTGAATTATTTAATCATTTAATTTCTCTATTGACAGAGAAAATAATGTTCTCAAGGACATTGGCGGCCCACAGGCGTATCAGGCTAATGTCACTATATATTCTCATCAAACTGAAAACTCCTGACATGTGTCAAATGTTACTACCTCCACCATTAGTATGAACTAATCAAACAGCTCTAAAACACTTATTTTGTCAGTTTGCCCTGATCAGCTGCATAGATGTGATGCACAGGCCTGCAGAGCAAATCTTTTCCCAGTAGACCTGTCACAAAGGAGCGAAACGAATGTCGTCTTCGTTGATAAACGGGAACCCAGAGTAGCACACTCCAGCTGGCAATGTGGCCATCTTTGTGGTCACACACAACTGGAATGTGAACGCAGCCAGTGGGGGCTGGCCCCTTAACCTTAACCTGCTCCGAGTGGACAAGACACTGACAGGACTGGACTGCACGCCACAATTGTGTGGAGGTGCTGCTCTGATGGACGATACTCTGCTGCATTAGAACTCCGGCATCTTCACTTGATGTATTACAGT